GATGCATCCATGTTTACATATCTCGCAAATATATCAAATTCTGCAATTATTTTTACGCTGTCGCAGCCTGGTGCAACTCCCGAGTTTCGCCCAAGTTTTGCGCGAATTCCCCAGGAATTCCCCACCACTTTTTTCCGAGTTTCCCCGAGTTCCCCCGCGCTCCGCCAGCGCGTGCCCACCAGCGACTATCATGCACTCCAGCGAGTCCCGCCCGCGCTGCAGCCCAACTCTCAAGCGTGTGGAACCGTGTGCGCCCATAGCCAGCTTATGGAAACCGGGTCAGCCCCATGCGTCTGAGTTTACATGCAGCTCGCACACGCAGCTTCCCAGACGGCGCGCGCACGACTGTGCACTCCCACTCGCGCGTCGCGCCAACCACCACACCCGCCGTGCTCAACCGTGCTCAGACGCAGCTTCCCAGACGCGTGCGCGCTGAACTGCCAGCTCCCACTCGCGCGCCTGCCGACTATCACCAACTGCCCGTGTGCACCACTACAGTCCGGTAGCTTCCGAGCTGGGCCGCCGTACAACTACCTGCTCACACTCGCGCAGCTGCCGACTGCCACGCTACCGCCTGTACGGGTGAGGGGGGTTGGGGTGCCGTACACGAGTTAGTTGGGGGTTAGTTGGAGCTGTCCTAGAACCTACATTATACTATTTTTGGGGGGAGGCCCAAGCGGGAGGCCCAAGGTTCGAGCCCGGCAGAGGTCGATGTATATCACTTGGAAATGTTAATCCGGGTTGCGGCGGAAACAGGTTGGGGACTGCATCGACTGGTAGATTTCCGAATGGAAACTTTTTCCGATTCCCTGGCACGCACCATGCGGTTTGCGAGGGGCGGGGAAGGACCTAACCTCACCCTCACCCGCCGCAGCATCTGACGCGCCCTTGGGTTGCGGCGTGTCCCTCGTCTGAGGCTCGCCATCATGCACCCACGAGGCCCTTCGCTGCCACCGCCGTGTTGGGAACATGGTGAAGCAGGCACAATAACAAAGTGCAACCTTCGCCACTTCCGCCTTCCCCAGTTGGCTACGACGGTGTACCCTTGTATCCCCGGCAGTGATTTTTTTTTCATTTAGGGGGGGTCTCAATTTATTCCGACCTAAGTAACAAAGTTGCTAGGGTCGCCGTAATGTATTCCGTAAGTGTGGGCCGCTGGGGGGGGCTACGCCCCCTCCAGACCCCCCCATAAGTTACAACTCCCCTCATAGACCAAGAGGCACGCACTGAGTTGGCGCGTTTTCGTTCATGTGCGCAGCAGATTTCATGCACATGCATAGATAGTTCTGGGACTGTTTGTGAACAAAAAGTAAATCCGACCAAGCAAAGGCCCAAAGCAAGCAACCGCATAGCAAATCAAAGGCCGTCACCCGCCACTGCAAACCACACCACACTCTACCGGTTCATCATGTACCGGCCCCTGATGCTGCTGTCCAGCCACTTCCTCAGTGCGTCACGGAACGGGAACGTGCCCAGGTCGAACAGGCCTGGGTAAACATCCGCACACACAATGCTAGGTGCTCGTCCAGTGTAGCAGCTGACCGCTGAAAAGGTCTCTCGAGTTGCTGGCGGTCGCGCTCTGCGCGTATTTATAGCGCCGTACTGTGTACCGGCTGCTACATTCCCCCCCCTTTGAAGGGAACCGTCCCGGGCCCTTAGAGCCTCGTATACCGCCAGCCTGTGCCTACCTTCGCCTACCCTCGGGCAGTGGGTAATTACTCCACGTCACGTCATGTGCCGGCTCACATGCGCCTAGCCGTCTTCAGATTTTTCAGGCACAGAGACAGTCCAGTCGGTTCAGCTACTTTTATAATTTGTGCGATATTCGCTCTCTGAGTCGCCGCACCCGAATACCACTCGAATGTGATCGGTGGGGGTTGAACCGACGACTTCAAGATCGTGAACTTTCATGAGGTCTCGATACCAAATGTAGCAGCTGACCGCTGAAAAGGTCTCTCGAGTTGCTGGCGGTCGCGCTCTGCGCGTATTTATAGCGCCGTACTGTGTACCGGCTGCTACATCCAGGCGGTTGCGGGTGGGGTCCTGCAAGTACCCCATGGCCGAGAACCGCCGCTCATCCTCCACCGACCCTGGCACCATCACTAACACCAGCTGGGCCAAAGCCGAATACTCCGTTAAGCCGCCGAGAAGTAGTTGTAAACGTCCTTGATGACGCTCACAATCATCTTGACGACCGGGGCTTTTTCCAGCACGGCAATGGCGAGGTCTGTGCGGTGTGCCATGCAGTGGATGCTCAGCAGGAACGGCGCGGTCTGGCTGAGCCTTGCTGACACCCCATTGTGCACGCCCGTCATCATGCTTGCACCGTCAGTGCTGACCACTACGAGCTTGCGCGCCAAATCCTCCTCCCCGAGGTCAGCCTCCATGTTCAGTGTATCCAGCACCAACTGCGTGATGTTCT